GTGAAACCCCATCTTTAAAAAAGAAAAAAAAAAAGAATATAAATTACTTTGGGTAGTATGGCTATTTTCACGACATTGATTCTTCCTAACCATGAGCATGGAATGTTTCTCCATCTATTTGTGTCCTCTCTTATTTCATTGAGCAGTGGTTTGTAGTTCTCTTTGAAGAAGTCCTTTATGTTCTTTGTTGGTTGTATTCCTAGGTATTTTATTCTCTTTGTAGCAATAAATATCTCTTTGTTAAAGTAGTATATCTTTCCACCTGGTTGAGATATTTTTGAATATAATTCTATCAAACATCTTAATTAACCATCCATGTTTTATGATATACATAGATTCAATAAGCATACTGTAGCAAAGACAATTCTTGCAAAATATGGCATGTACTCCCTTACTTTACCCAGACACTGTTGCGATTAGGTTGGAGCCATGTTACTTCCTCCAACCAATGGACAGTGAATAAAGGTGATGTCACTTGTGGGCCAAGGTATTTAAAAGACAATCTGATTCTTCTTTTCCTCCATTCCCCTGATGCAGAGACCTTGAGCACCATATCTTCTAGACATAACTGTAAGTGGAGCTTACATGAACCTGTGGTAATACATTAAAGACATTTGACTGTATTCTATTAATTCAAATTTGTATCAGCCACAAATTCATTTCCACCCAAAAACATTATTAAAGATTTAGGTAAATGTTGAATATGTCAATTTAGCATAATTTAGTCATTTCACAAGGAATACATATCAAAACATCATGTTATACACCGTGTGTGTGTGTGTGTGTGTGTGTGTGTGTGTGTGTACATATATGTATGCATATAGTTTGTTTGTTTGTTGGAGACAGAGTTTCACTCTCATCACCCTGGCTGAAGTCCAATGGCACGATATCTGCTCACTGCGACCTCTGTCTCCCAGGTTCAAGCGATGATTCTCCTATCTCAGCCTCCTGAGTAGCTGGGATTACAGGCGCCCACCACCATACCCAGCTAATTTTGTTGTTGTTGTTTTAGTAGAGACGGGGTTTCACCATGTTGGCCAGGCTGTTCTTGAACTCCTGACCTCAGGCAATCCACCTCCCTCACCTCCTAAATTGCTGGGATTACAGGCGTGAGCCACCGCCTAGTTTTTATTTATCCATATAAAAAATACTTTAGTTAAATGGCTTGTTAAAATCTAAATACATTAAGTCCCAAGGACTATAGTAATCCGCTAAAGGTTTAAAAGCATGGGCATGTTATGATCAGATTTGCATTTTAAAGATACATCTGGGTGTGGAGTGATTGGAGGGAATTAAGACTAGGAGCAGGGAGAAGAGCTGAGAGGCTAGTTCAGGAACATTTGAAAGGGGGACTGTGGTTATTGGAGCCAATGTGAGCTCACTAAAAATTCTGTCAAAGTCACCTAGTTTGATTTTTGCTAGTGTTGCTAGACAGGTGTGTTAGAGAAATGACAAAGTTCACAGTTGTGAACTTGGCTCTTGCCTGCCACTCAGTTTTTTCCTGTCCCATTCTCCTCCTCTGTCCTCTAGTCACATGGACCCTTTTCAGTTTACTTCTGTGTCATAAGCATTCTCTCAGACGCTGGGCTTTGCATCGGCTCTTCCCCCTGTTTAGAATGCTTTTCTACCCTGTCCGCTTTTCTACCCTGTCTGCTTTTCCAGGCTAATTTCATGGTTTAGATCTCAGTTTTTTCGGAAGGCCTCACCTGATTCCCCAAAATGCAAATCCCCTTGCTTAAACCTTCATTGCCCAACCCCTTTCAGAGCATTCAATGCCACTGTAATCACTTCTTACAAAACCACTTTATCTTTCTTTTGACACTAAAAATTCCTTGACTACAAAGGCCACTTCTGTTGTGTTTACCATTAGTAACTTAAAATAGTGCAAAGTAGGTGTTCAAATTTGCTACATAGGATTATCTAATCATTTGTTCTGGAAATGTGTCAGAAATCAGTGCTAAACCATGTGAACTACAGATTTTAAGAATCAGTGGCTCACACCTGTATTCCCAGCACTTTGGGAGGCCAGGGCGGGCAGATCACGAGGTCAAGAGATCAAGACCATCCTGGCCAACATGGTGAAACCCGTCTCTAGTAAAAAAATGCAAAAATTAGCTGGGCGTGGTGGCACGTACCTGTAGTCCTAGCTACTTGGGAGGCTGAGGCAGGAGAATTGCTTGAACCTGGGAGGCGGAGGTTGCAGTGAGCTGAGATTGCACCACTGCAATCCAGCCTGGCGCCTGGTGACAAAGCAAGACTTTGTCTCAAAAAAAAGAAAAAAAAAAAAATCTTTTTGTTCTTTGCCCTTCTCCAGAGTCTGAGCATTTCCTCTTTCTTGCAACATTTTTCAGAGATTTCTGACAGTGGTTCTGTGTTGCAACAGCAAGTTCTCTCAGTTGTCTGGGTTGCCATTGCTTTAGTGCAGGGATCAGCAAAGTGCAGTCCAGTGCAAATCTGGCCAGCAGCCTATTTTTGTAAATAAAGATTTATTGGAACACAGCCATGTCTATTTCCAAACTGTTGATGGCTGCCTTCACACTATAACAGCGGAGTTGAGTTGTTTCAAACAAGACCATGTGGCCTGCAAAGCCTAAAATACCACTTTTATAGAAAAAAATGCCAACCCCTAGTCTACATATTTGAGTTTATTTAAGACAGCTAGTGGTTTCTTTTTATTACCTCATCTATATTTGACTTCTTTTCCTCTTTGCCCATCTTTGATATGCCTTTACAATTAGAAAATTATTCTATTAAAGAATTCAGAACAAAACCAGCAGCTGCTGCCCAGAGTGATCTGCTGACATAAATCTGCCCCACGCAGTGCCTGCTCCATGTTGCTGTCCTTGCTCTGTGTATGTCTAACAAAGCCAGTTTTGTTGCCCGTAGAATTTTTATAAAACGTATTTCACACTCTGTTTTTTTGCACGTTGTATTCTGTCTTGATTATGTATTCCTCCTTCCTGCAGTTCTTTATGACCCTAATTTAACCAAAGAGCTCTTTCAGCAGCCAGGATGCTCCCTTTGTTCGGAATCACTTTCACTTATGTTATCAGAATTTTAGTTTTGAAAATCATCCATTTCTCCTTAATGAGTCTTTAGATGAAGCCTTTAGATTATACCTGTGAGTTTTTCTTTCTCTTTTTCTGAAAGTTTGAGGGCATGTCGGAAGTCCAGATGTCCTTAGCCATTTCAGACTCTCAGATGACAATCCATTCCACTTCTGCTCCTCTTCAGCCAGTTATTCTGCTTGGTCAGTGTGACGGTTAAATTGTAGTCCCTCAAAAACACACATTGAACCCCAGTACCTCCAAATATGAGCTTATTTGGAAATAGGGTCTTCAGAGAGTCAGGTTAAACTGAGGTGAAATGAGTGAGTGTCTGTGAGCCCAGGGTTCTAGAGAGCATAGAGACAGATGCAGGACTCAGAGTCTCAAGTGGGGGAGGTAGAGAGAACAGCAGGGAACGCTTTGTGGAGAAGCTTCTGTTTCCACTGAGACCAAAACCAGTGAAGAGTGTTTAGCAAAGGTGCCACTAGGGGTGCTCTGGGGGAGCTGGAGCCTTCCCTATGTTTTCTGTTATTCCACGCACCCCAACCCCAGCAACCTAATAGTAAAAACTAACATTTATTCTACATTCACCATGTACCAAGCACACTTATCATAAGATAACTTAATAGTCATTATTTAATCATCACAAGAATCCTGATATTACTATCCTAAGTCCATAGAGAGACTGGGGTACACGGAGGTTAAGAACCTTGTCTGGGGTCACTCAGCTGAGTGAGGCAGCTGGCACTTGAACTCAGGCAGCCTGTTTGCAGGAGTCGTGCTCTTATCCTACCTTTCTTGCAAAGGAAAGGAACATACCTGCTCTGCCAGGCAGCTCTGAAACAAGTCCCTTAGCATTGGCCTACCCACTGCAGGGCTTCAAACAGATGAACACCACTAAGCCCCTCCTTTAGAGAAATTCTAGAATGCTCTTGGAAATGAGCCAAACAAATAAAGGAAGTAAGGGTTGGGAAAAGGGAAGACTCCTCAGGCCCAAAAGCCAGAGAGAGCAGGAAGATGTTTTCTTTTTGAGGTCTCACACTGTCACCCAGGCTGGAGTGCAGTGGCACGATCACGGTTCACTGCAGCCTTGACCTCCGTGGACTCAGATGATACTCCCACCTCAGCCTCCTGAGCAGCTAGGACCACAGGTGTGCACTACCACACCCAGCTAATTTTTCTATTTTTTGTAGAGATGGGTTTTTGCCATGTTGCCCAGGCTGGTCTGAAACTCCTGGGCTCCAGTGATCTGCCCACCTCAGCCTCTCAAAGTGCTGGGATTACAGGCTTGAGCCACTGTGCCTGGCCAGCAGGAAGATTTTTAATAAGAGCAAGTAGCTAGAAAGTGGGCCGGGGTCAAAAGTTCCTTAGTCCTGATCCTGTCCTACTAGGAAAGCTCTTCTCAGCAGAAAGGAAATCCCTTTCTAGAATGAGACTTACTGACATCAGTTACATGTAGGACCATGTCCAGGGACACATTTGAGATTTGCCTAAGAGCAGGATCTGGGCGTGTGAGCCTCAACAGACCCATTTCGTCTCTGACTCTCCCTTTGCCTGCTCTCTCTCCATCTCCCCAGCTTCCCTTCTGCGGTACTCAACCTGCTCCACAAGCCTCAAAAACAACCTGTTAATGCTCTTGGCCAGCAGTTTTTCACACATTAACAGGTGAACTGTTCAAGCTGGCGTGGCTGAAACTTCAGGGTTGGAGCCTCACAGCACAGCCCCAGACCATCCCCACCCCACTGCAGCCATTCAGGACAGCCTCACAGAAGCCTGCAAGGAAATCAGTCCCTCGCTGGATTTAATAACAAGGAGCCTCTAGAAATCGAGATCTGACACTGACAACTGAAGAACTTAAGTCATTGGGCATAAGACTGGGCGTGACAGACGCCACCCCAGTTCCAGGCATGCGGACTTGCCTTGAGCACACTGTAAGTGCTTAGGTGGCTTCAACCGAAAGCTCTCTTGAATTGCCAGCTTACACCTTCATAGTTAAGAGACCATTACTCAGCACAACATGGCAGCTAATATTTAAAACAGTAAAGAGGAAAGGCAATCATTTCCTCACTAAATGAAATAGGAGATATGAATCAGAGGAATACAATCTGGCACTGATTGAAGTAAATTACCAGCTGATTAGACGGCTATAAATACAGGGAGAGAAGCCTCAACAGGCAGCTGGATTTTGTAAGGAAGAGGGCAATTAGAGAGGGCACAGAAGAGGCAGAGCACAGCCAGGGCAGCTCTGCGGCACCACGATTACAAAGGCAGGAAGGGGTCTGTAGGAAGCGTTCTGCCGCTGGTGCCTGCATGAAAGGGGAGCTCCTCACTCCCACTCACCCTTCCCCACCTCCCTGGTGAGCATGAAGAGCTTAAACTGCCAGCCCCATAGCTGGCAGCAGTTAGAAGGGGTGTTTGTTATTGCAACACAGGAAGTATCAACAATTTATCCTCCTTTTCTATGCAGTACTCAATCTGGAAGCTTTTTGCTTCCTATCAAAACCCAGGGACTTGAAAACTACTCAGGCCCCTGCAGCCTACAAGGGACAAGATTCATGCAGATCTCAGTGGGAGATGCGATCTCCAGACAGCAGCTGGGGCCCCTTGTTGCATACAGCAAGCACTTAAAGACGCAAACCTCCGTGATACCAGGAACTGAGAACTTTCTGCAATTTATAATAGTGTAACTGGAAAGCCAAGAGCTCCTCTGTGCCTACCAAAGAACATTCCCTCTTCCTTTGGCAACTTGGAGGAGATAGTTTGGCCAGCCTAGGAGGAAGTGATTGGCTGGGACAGAAATGAGGGAGAGGAGGGTGTGATTTTTACTTGGGTGATGGACATGAACATAACAAAGAACAGACAGGATGCCTTAGTCCCACTGGTGTTATGAATTCCATAGCCCTGAGCCTTGCCCTACTACAGGCTTGTGTAATTCTCAAGAATGTGCTGTCATGGCCCAAGGGGAGACTATGCAGCGCAGACCCTCCAGCTGTGAGGTTAACTCAGCAATGCTCCACCCTTGTCATCTTTGGGTTTCAGCACTCGGGCCCTGGACACGCTTCTCACCAGAAGTGAACACTCGGTGGAGGCTGCAATAGACCCAAAGACCACATCAGCTGCAGTTTGCATCGAGAAGAAATGATTCTAATGTAACATGACAGAGGACATATGAGACGATGAATAAACAATAGAGAATAAAAATAATGGAGGAAGGGTTAAGGAAAAGGTCTTCTTGGAGCTAGGATAAAGTCATTTCCTTAGCCAGATCTGACTAAGGGTTTCACTCTCTAACTTAGAGGCACCAAGAAGTTACAACACATAGTGCTAATTGAAGCTTATTTTGTAGATACCATACTTAACTGTTAACAGATACAGTTAACTGCTTACAGTTTAGTTAACTGGATATAGTTCTCAACCCACATGGGGTCAGTCATTTTCAACAAATCTTTTTTTTTTTTTCCTTGTAGAATTCAGAGTTGAAGAACTCCTTCAAGGATACACAAAACTGTCATCGGTAGTTAAGACTTCAGTGGTCTGAGGGTGAACTGCAGGTAAGTAGTCCCTCTTATCAAATGCCTCTTTAACAAGGCTTGCAGCTATCTGGATGCGACACCCATCATAAAAGCCGGTATTCATCAGATCAGGAAAAGGGTGCAAATAACCGACATTAGCCAAGAAAGAATTCAAAGATATTTTTGAACTAGTTTGGGGCCAACTTTTGGGTGAGAACAGAAGAGAAATTGAATTCACTTCATCTGGTGTTAACTGAAATAAGAGTTAATGTGTCAAATATCTTCATCCTGACTAAAACTAAGACCACAGATTAGAGCACCAAAGGGTGTGACTAGAAAAGCACTGCAGAAAAGAATGCAAAAACAGGAAGATCTCATGTTAAGAGCTGGCTGTCTAATGGATAAGAAATATGAGGAGAACACAAGAAAAGAGACTGGCGCTGCCGGGCGTGGTGGCTCACGCCTGTAATCCCAGCACTTTGGGAGGCCGAGGCGGGTGGATCACGAGGTCAAGGGATCGAGACCATCCTGGTCAACATGGTGAAACCCCATCTCTACTAAAAACACAAAACATTAGCTGGGCATGGTGGCACGTGCCTGTAATCCCAGCTACTCAGGAGGCTGAGGTAGGAGAATTGCCTGAACCCAGGAGGCGGAGGTTGCGGTGAGCCGAGATCCCGCCATTGCACTCCAGCCTGGGTAACAAGAGTGAAACTCCATCTCAAAAAAAAAAAAAAAAGAAAAGAAAAGAGACTGGCGAGTAATGAGGGTGAATTTAAAGGCTTTCAACAAAGCCACCTTCTCTGGCAGCATTGCCACTCCTCCTGCTGCCCTCAGGACAATTCCTGATCAAGCTGGTGACAGCCTTATGCTCAATCATCCCCTGGGTCCTTCAGCATTTCCTTCCCTGCTAAAGTAGAGGTGAGGATCAATGTTACTTGAGTAAACATTTGGTTCTTACAGACGTAAGTACAACTTCCTTCTCTTAAGACAGCTCCGTTTTCCTAAAGACACTGTATGAACCCCCAAGAACCTATAATGTTCCCTGGAACCAGTAGGAGTGTTGAGTCCTCTCTGGTTCTAGGTTTCTAGAAGAAACAAAGTTTATTAACAAATCTTATAGCAACTACGGCTGCCCAACTTTTCCACATGGTTTCTTCTCTATAACTAGATCATGTTAATGCAATTACTATCAAAACTTAAATGAGTTTTTTTTTGACATAGACAAGCTTTAAAAACAACTTTAAAAATGAGAATAAAGTGGGAAGAATTACTCTTCCCAATATTAAGGCCCAATATATAACTGCAGAACCCCGGCAGTATGGCAATGGTAGAGGGAGCAGGCAAAGCAATCAGTGGAACAGAAGAGAGAACCCAGATATAGATCCGCTCAAAATTCCCATTAATTTTAGACGAAGTAAAAGCAATGGAATAGAGGAAAAGCAGCCTTTTTTTTTTCTTTTAAATATATATTTTATTGAGTTTTAGGTTTGGGGTACATGTGAAGAACATGCATGATTGTTGCATAGGTACATCCATGGTAATGTGGTTTGCTGCCTTCCTCCACGTCACCTATATCTGACATTTCTCCCCATGTTATCCCTCCTCAACTCCCCATCTCCCATTGTCCCTCCCTTATTCCCCCACAACAGACCCCAGTGTGTGATGCTTCCCTCCCTGTGTCCATGTGTTCTCATTGTTCGATACCCGCCTATGAGTGAGAACATGCAGCGTTTGATTTCTTGTTCTTGTGTCAGTTTGCTAAGAATGATGGTTTTCAGGTTCATCCATGTCCCTAAAAAGGATGTGAACTCATCATTGTTTTTGGCTGCATAATATTCCATGGTGTATATGTACCACATTTTCAAGGTCCAGTCTGTCATTGATGGGCATTTGGGTTGGTTCCAAGTCTTTGCTATTGTAAACAGTGCTGCAATGAACATACATGTGCATGTGTCCTTATAATAGAACAATTTGTAATCCTTTGGATATATACCCAGTAATGGGATTGCTGGGTCAAATGGAATTTCTATTTCTAGGTCCTTAAGGAATCGCCACACTGTCTTCCACAATGGTTGAACTAATTTACACTCCCACCAACAGTGTGAAAGTGTTCCTATTTTTCCACATCCTCTCCAGCATCTGTTGTCTCCAGATTTTTTAATGATTGCCATTCTAACTGGCATGAGATGGCATCTCAATGTAGTTTTGATTGGCATTTCTCTAATGACCAGTGATGATGAGCATTTTTTCATATGTTTGTTGGCCTCATGTATATCTTCTTTTGTAACGTGTCTGTTCATATCCTTTGCCCACTTTTGAATGGGTTTGTTTTTTTCTTGTAAATCTATTTTAGTTCTTTGTAGATTCTGGATATTACCCCTTTGTCAGATGGGT